GTGTATGTGTGTGGGGTGTGTGTGAGTATATGTATGTGTGTGCATGTGTGTGTAAGTGTATGTGTGTGAGCGTATGTATGTGTGTGCATATGTGTGTAACTTTATACATGTGAGTGTGTGAGTGTTTGTGAGTATATGTGTGTGAGTGTATGTGTGTGAGTGTGTGTGTATGTGTGAGCATGTGAGTGGGGGTGTATGTATGGGTATATATGTGTGTGAGTGTGTATATATGTGTATGTGTGAGTGGGAGGTGTATGTGTGTGAGTGTGTGTATATGTGTGAGTGTGTGTGTGTGTGTGTGTGTGTGTGTGGGCGCGTATGTATGTGTGTGCATATGTGTGTAACTTTATACATGTGAGTGTGTGAGTGTTTGTGAGTATATGTGTGTGAGTGTATGTGTGTGAGTGTGTGTGTATGTGTGAGCATGTGAGTGGGGGTGTATGTATGGGTATATATGTGTGTGAGTGTGTATATATGTGTATGTGTGAGTGGGAGGTGTATGTGTGTGAGTGTGTGTATATGTGTGAGTGTGTGTGTGTGTGTGTGTGTGTGTGTGGGCGCGTATGTATGTGTGTGCATATGTGTGTAACTTTATACATGTGAGTGTGTGAGTGTTTGTGAGTATATGTGTGTGAGTGTATGTGTGTGAGTGTGTGTGTATGTGTGAGCATGTGAGTGGGGGTGTATGTATGGGTATATATGTGTGTGAGTGTGTATATATGTGTATGTGTGAGTGGGAGGTGTATGTGTGTGAGTGTGTGTATATGTGTGAGTGTGTGTGTGTGTGTGTGTGTGTGTGTGGGCGCGTATGTATGTGTGTGCATATGTGTGTAACTTTATACATGTGAGTGTGTGAGTGTTTGTGAGTATATGTGTGTGAGTGTATGTGTGTGAGTGTGTGTGTATGTGTGAGCATGTGAGTGGGGGTGTATGTATGGGTATATATGTGTGTGAGTGTGTATATATGTGTATGTGTGAGTGGGAGGTGTATGTGTGTGTGTGTATGTGTGTGAGTGTGTATATGCATGAGTGTGTGTGAGTGGGGGTGTACGCGTGTGTGAGTGTGTATATGTGTGAGTGTGTGTGTGTGTGTATGTGTGTGAGTGTGTATATGCATGAGTGTGTGTGAGTGGGGGTGTACGCGTGTGTGAGTGTGTATGGCCTAATGCTGACCGTAAGGAACGTCACAGCACACAACTGTATGAACGTCCCATGGCTCTCCACTTCGCTTGAGCGTGTGACCTCACTCGGGAACACACGCTAGGAAGGCCCGGGAGCACCGCGCCGTAGTGGACCCACGGCCGCAGGCACGCAGATTCCGCGGTGTCTCTGTCGGTACCCGTGCGGAGCGTGCCGTAACTGAAAGTCTGGCTCTGTCGACTTGTGGTGCCTGTGTGTCTTTTTCAAACACGTGGTGAAAGGCCCGATATTTTCCAAAGTGAACCACGTTAAAGACGGTAGTTGTGAACTTCCTGATTTAAATCGCACACGTGAACCATCACTGTAAGCCCCGTCGAAGCTATTAGGCACGGAAGAGTACTTGACTGACTTCCCTGTTTGTTTTCTTAAAAAAAAAAAAAAAAGGCGATGACAGCTTTCATCTTGGTGCTTTCCTGGGCCTGCAGAGTGACCACAGAACTTCTAAGGCCGGTGTCTGACAGATCTGGGAGGTGAGGGAGCTGCCAGCCTCTGCTTAATGCTTGGTACTCGTTCCTGAACCCTTCCCCCGGGGCCAGGAGCCTTCGTGGCCTCATCTCCATTTTACCTATAATTTAAAAAGATTCTGACTTGGAGTCATTTGGAGAATTGTTCTACTCATGTGTTCTTGCATCTGGCAGAGATCAAAGTCTTAAGCTAGAAGAGTGATGCTCTAAGAGCAGACTTTAAGCATCAGAGGCAAATAGGCAGTGAAGCGCCCCCCACCATCCATAGAGGCCGTCACCACTTCCATGCAAATGCACGGCCAGGAGCAGAAAATTCATTTCTTACTGGAGTAGCTTTGTGCTTTCTGTCTGTCTGCTCTGTCCGGCTTGTCCCCTTCCTGGGCGACTTCAGCCCACAGGCTGGTGCATTTGTTGGGATTCTTTGGCAGCGTGTGCCAAGAATTCACTCATGCCGTATTAAGGGGGAGACAGGTACGTGCATGTGGACCGTCAGATGCAAGGGTTGAGCTGACCTTGTGGTTGAACAAGGCTTTACCGTTACTAACTCTCGCCACACTCACTTCCTCCTCCTGTCTTGTTCTGTGGGCCTTGGTCTTACTGTGGTCCATTCTCTATGTTAGGGATATACTCTTACCTTTTTCAGCTGGGGGCTTATTTACACTGCACCTCATGCCAAGCCAGAGAAGTCTGGGCAGGCTGCTGGTTGCTGAACGCTCTTGTCACGCCATTCACTGTGTGTGGTCAGAAATGGTATGAAATGCGTTGTCTCAGTGACAGTTCCTTAAGAAACACACGACATGAGGGAATGCCATTGCCCACTGAGATTCCTTCTTCACCTCTGGGATGATGGGAGTGGAGCTGGCTCTGAAACCCTCTCCGCGTTAACCTACTCTGTTTAAAGTTAGCTGCTCCATCTGTGGTATTCTACTCACTGTGCTGCTGTCTCATCCGTGTCCTGTCTCCCCTCAGGTCGGACAGCACTGGGGGACAGTGACGAGCTCCTGGCTGCAGCTCCGAGGCAGTCTCCACAGAGCAGGGCAGCCCACAGTGTCCTTCCCATGGGACAGCCAAGTGTTACCGTCCAGCCTGCATCAAATTTAATCGCCGTCCGCGCCACGCGTGATAGGAGATGGCCGCAATTCCAAATTTTGTCAAGCATCGCAAATTCAGCATTTTGCCTGAGTGAAAAAAGCAGCAGATCTAGTGGGAGGTCAGCTGGAAATTCCCTTACGGCATTACGCTTAGGGCATTGAATAGTGCTTACAGAATTGGTTTCGATTCGGATGTAGCCCAGGCCAACGTGGCTAATATGTGCCGGAGTTCCGGGTTATTCTTCTATTTCCACACCATTGAAGACCGATTTTTCCTTCAAAGCTAAATGAGACATCTGAATGAAACGCTCGTCCACCTGGTCATCAAGCCCGTTGGTCCGTCTCCTCTGTCATTTCCACGTTTCCACGGTGGCGGCCTTTGGCCGAGTCTGCGTCTCCGTTAGACCCTTAGCTCACAGACCAGACTCATTTCTGTGTGTTCAACATCAAGTCTGTGCTGTAGTTACCATTATTGGGCTGCTTGCTGCCTTAGGGCTAATCATGGTACTGTGGTCTCGGGCGAGTCGTCGAACTTTCTCAACCTCAGGTTCTTTTCTTAAGGTAGGAGTAGTCACCCTTCTCTGGGGCATGCAGGGAGCAGTGGACGAGGCAAGGGCCCGCACACTGCCTGGCCCGACTTGAGCAGGCAGCAGAGGTGTGTGTGCAGTTTCGATATATTTTAACTTCCTGCATGACACCAAGAAAGGTGGCAGTACAGCGCTTATAACCCTGGGTCAAACCCAGCTCCGCCACATCGCAACCAACGGTGTGATTTTAGAGTAGTTTCTTCGTATTTCAAATCCTTAGTCCTTCATATGTAAAGTAGAGATGATGAAAATCTCTACCTCTCAGATCTGAGTGGATGGAGAGAGAGGATCCATATATAAAGCAACTATCTGCACCTGGCACATAGTAGGTACCTTATAGATGGCTCACTCTTGTTCTTTTTTTTTGGAGAGGTTTTTGCTATGGGACACGTGTGCTTGCCAGAAAGAGACAGAAAGCAAGAAATCACCACCCAGGGGGGATGGCCACACTGCAATCCCTTCTCCTCCAGTCTCCTCTCAGGGTCTTGGGCACACACGCACACACGCCTGGCGTGAGTTTAAGCCACCAGGTCTGGGACTTGAACTGCGGTCTACTGCGTGGGAGTCCAGCCACATAGCCATTACGCCAACTTCTGCTCCCACTCTTGTTCTCATCAGTGATGGAGGTTGAGAAGAGAAGTGGCGGAATTGCCATGGCTGCTTGAGTGTCTCTGGGTCCCCTGCGGTCTCTTCTGGCTTTGTGTGTTCACATGAAGACGGATCCACATTAATTGCCCATGGTTAATTGCTTCCTTGTGAGCTAGACCTGCCCTGAGGCAGCGAATTTTCTTATTCTTTTTATTGAGGCATCCAGTGGCCTACATCTTTTCTAATTTGATAAGCTCTGTTTTTTTAGTACCTAGCACAAAGAGGCAATACCACACGCGCATTTCCAAATATATCATTTGTATGCGCACTCGGCCCCAGCGCATGGGGAGAGTATTCTGAGGGGCAGGGTGGGCATCTGCGCTCTCACTGGAACTGGTGCCAGCCACTTGTCCACAGTTAATTGTGCCTCAGTAATGTTCTCCTGGGAAAATTGATACGCGGGCTTCCAGCTGTTTCTTGGCCTTCATTTGTTCCTGACTCTTTTTTTTTTTTTTTGAGAGGTTTTCACTATAGGGCGCGCGCTCGCCAGACAGACAGAGAGAGACATAGAGACAGAAAGCGAGAAATCACCCCCCAGGGGGGTGGGTCACGCCGCAATCCCTGCCCCTCCATTCTCCTCTCGGGATCCTGGGCACGCACGCACACGTGCCCGGCGTGAGTTTTAAGCCACTGGGTCCAGGACGAGAACCACGGTTGATTCTGTGGGAGTCCAGTGACATAGCCATTACGCTAACTGCTGGTTCCCTCGTTCCTGACTCTTGAGTTTACATTGCTTACGGGGCTGTTTCTGCAGAGGTCACAGAATCTATTGACAAATGGGGCATTCCTCCCACTCAGAACTCTCTGCCCCCCAGTTCCAAGCCAGTCAGTTTCCTTATTTCTTCCTGGAAATACAGGAGACAGGGAAGATGCCCACTGTCGAAGCTGGCCCTCTGGGAAAGCGTGTGCATGGTGCAGGCAGAGCCACGCAGAGGGCGGCAGGAGGCAGGGAGCTGTCCTCTTGGTGGGGAGGTCCGCCCTGGGAGTGACGGCCCTCCTTCTCTGTCCAGGTAATGCAGGTGGTGAAGGAGCAGGTTATGAGAGCGCTGACGACCAAGCCTAGCTCCCTGGACCAGTTCAAGAGCAAACTGCAGAACCTGAGCTACGCCGAGATCCTGAGAATCCGCCAGTCCGAGAGGATGAACCAGGAAGACTTCCAGTCTCGCCCGATCTTGTAAGTCCCCCAGTTCCGACCTCTGCCCCCAGAGGCTCTGCCTGCCTTCCCTGGAGTGACTGCCTGGCACACAGTCACACAGCTGGGCTGCACTGTCGGCCCCTGCTGAAGGCTCACCTAAGGCTTCCCAGAAGTTCTCAGTTCAGTTGTGGAGGTGGGGGTCTCCATTGCTCCTGGAGGAAGGCGTGGGCAGGGCGGCCGAGTGGGAGGCAGGGCCAGCTCGAGCACGTAGATCTAAACCAGGAACTGGCCCAATTAGAGAAGTGTCCTCTGGGATCTTGTAACCAAAAGTTCTGCACTTTTTCCAACATGTAGAAATTCCTTTGCCCCTGAACTGTTCCAACATGGGTGCCCTCTGAGTGGCAGAATGTGCCAGCCCAGCCCGAGTGAGTGAGGCCCATAGCGCACACCAAGGCAGAGTGCAGGGGAGGGCAGTGAGAGCAGGGCGGGAGATCTACCTCCCTCCGCCCATAAAATGACGGGAGGAGACGGGTCTGGTTAGCACTAGGGCAGCTTCTACGCTGTCACAGCTCCAAGCCTGCAGGGCTTCGGTGGGGACACAGCAGGCTCCTTTCCGTGCAGGGCTTGTGTCCAGTGCCACTTGCCGTCACCACAAAGTTTCATCTGCTTCTGCTTTTCAATGTTCCAGACCACAGACGTGAGGGCTGCTTCGCCTGCTTCATCTTAGAACTAGCCAGTGTCTCCCTCCTTGTCCCCTTCCTTCCTTCCAACCTTTCTTCCTATTTTCCTTCTTTGTTTCTCTTATTCTTTCTTTCCCCAGAGGGTACATGTGCTCACCAAAGAGAGACAGAAAGACAGAGGGAAAGTAAGCCCTCCCTCCCGGGGGGTGGTCATGGCCGAAACCCCATCTCCATCTCTCCCTCCGTTTGGGATTTTGGGGGGCACACTCACATGCACCCAGTGTCTATCATGTGTCTGAGGCTACAGGAGCTGGGACTCAAACTGTGCACCTGGTCATTCCTGCCTTCACCCCGCACCACGACTGGCCCTTGTCCTTTTGTAAGAGCTAGGTCAGTTTTGTCATCCTTGCGTTTATGTACCTCATATTTATATATCCTGCATATTGTAAAGGGAAGCAGTTCGAGGACAAGTGGAAGGGGAGTAAGGGCGTTGTCACAAGCAGAGGAGCCAGGACTTGAACTCAGGTCTCCTGATGCCTCAGCCAGTGCTTCTTCACCCACCAGAATGCCTTTGCCACATGTGAGGCTGAAATGAGTTTTGAGAAGGGGAGTAAGGGCCTTGTCACAAGCAGAGGAGCCAGGACTTGAACTCAGGTCTCCTGATGCCTCAGCTAGTGCTCTTCACCCCCCAGAATACCTTTGCCACATGTGAGGCTGAAACGAGTTTTGAAAGTGCACAGGAATGGAAAGATGGTGGTTAAGCTATATTTGCTGCTCCGGAATCTTGGGAGGCACTGCTAGCGACTGCAGGGTACAGCTGCACACTTCGGGCGGCATGAGGTCTGTCCGCAGGGGCGGGAATGGCTCCCATAGGCTTTGCTCATTCCACCGTGAGACCCGAGTCATCCCTGCACCAGCCCCAGCCAGCCCCCAGGAGAGACCCCATGGAGTTCCGCACTGTCCTCAGCCCGGGGAGTAACAGCTGGAGATACGAGCAGAAAGCATGGTCAGTCCCACCTGCAAGGGAGGAGGTTGCCTTTCGCCCCTTGCCGGCTTACAGCACGGAAATGCTGGATTTCACAACGTCCAGTTCAGACGTGTAAACACAAGGGCACTTCATTATGCTTTTGAGGATGATTCTTCAAACCTAAAGGGAGATCTGAGAAATAAGCCTAATTCATTCTAAATGAACGTGACTTCGTTCCAAACGAGCAGCTTCACTGCATGCCGAGCGTGAGTGTTGGCGTCCATCTGGGCTTCGCATCTTCACTTCCTGAGGCTCTACCTGTGACACTCCGAAGTTCCCTTTCTCTCCGTTACAAGCGGCCCTTATCTCCACCTTTGCCATGCAAGGAAGCACAGGTCCAGGATAAACACACTCCCTTGTGTGGGAGTAGCTTTCCCATCAGTGTTCAGCTGGGAGACTGAGACACACCAGGACCCTGTGGAGCTTTTGGTACATGTATTAGGTTGCAGGAAGTTCACGAGGAATAGACCGATGCTGCAGCATATGAGCCTGGAGGTCAGGGGCCGGCTGAATCGCTAGCCCAGCCTCCGAACCCGCAGATAAGACCAGGATGTTCTGGGTGTCAGAGTGAGCTCTGCATGGCCTGTTCTCTCGGGGATCTGAAAAAGAACTCATTATGGGTTTGGATCCAGTTGAATGCTTTCATAATGGTGCATGTGGTAAACCCAGGATACCCCAAAGAAAGCCATAGACTCCACCCTGTACGCTTGTTTTCTTTCATGGACTCATTTGTTCATTGATTCGTTCACTCCTCCATCCACAAACATGTATTGAGCAACTCCTGCATTCCAGTTCCTGCCTAAGGTGCTGAGAACCAGCAGAGACCCAGAGATCCTTGGCCCCTGCTGTCTCGGGCTTTAAAAGCTGGGCTGAGGGCGGGGAGAGTCACCAAGGACTGTGCCCTGTGCGTGATTACAGGAAGCGCACATGGGTTGCTGTAAGAGTCAACAGGAAGGCATCTCACCCAAGTGTGTGGGTAAGATGCTGAACTTTCAGGGCTGGAAGCACCTGTACGGTCATCCAGTTCAAGCTGCTTTTCATTTTGCACCCAGGGCCAGCAGCTTGGCCGGGACTTGATCGCCAGCACAGACCTCTGCGTGTTGTAGGGCTGGCTCTCCCGAACCCTCCCCACCCCAGCACTCTCCCTCACGTGGCTGCCTCTGTGTGTGTGGACACAGCCTGCTGACATCGCCAGCACAGACCTCTGCGTGTTGTAGGGCTGGCTCTCCCGAACCCTCCCCACCCCAGCACTCTCCCCTCACGTGACTGCCTCTGTGTGTGTGGACACAGCCTGGTGACCGACCTCCTCTCCACTCAGACCCCTTGGGCCACAAATCCTGTTTCATAAAGTATTTATGTTTCCTGAGAAGAGAAATGTAAATGCCACGTGAACAAATGTTTTGGGGGAATATATGCTCAGTGAGTGGAAGAAGCTCTATTTTCTTAGCTCTTGATTAATTATTTTGAAGAGCAGTTATTTGTTATTTCCTGCTTAGTGTGGCTTAACAGGGAAGATAAGTCCATCCACACTATTAATCCCACTTAATGGATACAGCGAGCTTACATAGTCTAAAAGCAGGTCATTTAACACTATGTTGGAGGGGAATGGAGATGTGAGCACACACACAGGGAAGCAGGACGTGAAACGTGTGCAGCTGGGACCCGGGAGGGACAGACCGGGTCAGGTCCCAGTGCTGTCGTGTGCATACGTGGCTCCTAAGGCCAGTCAGGCCATCCCCTGCCTGCTTCCCTCTGAAGGGGAGGGTGAGCAGCCAGCGCTGACACAGCAGTAAGTGCAACTTCTGCAAGGCAGACCCGCAGGAGAGTTGCCAGTTCATGTCCGGACACTTCCCTGAGCATGCCAGGCCTGTGTGTGCCTGTGATCAGGCCTGGCTGAATCTGGGGCTAGAGCTCAGCATCAAGACCCTGCCAGGGGTTCTATACCTCTGTCTCTGTCTGTCCATCTCCCTCTGTCTCTCTCAATCATGAAATAAGTAAGTAAACTTCAAAATAAAATGAAGATGATGACAATCACTGGGTCCTTATGAGGGGCCCACTACATAGTGCTGGAAGAGGGCTTAGCCCGTGCCTGGCGCATGCTGGCACTTGTAGAAGGAGTCCCTCATTGCTAGCCCCTAGCCACACCTTAACAAGTTGTAATACTGCTCACATGTAGATGGTTAACACTGATATTGTGGATACATCTGTAGATGCTTCGCCTTATCTTAGAAAATATAGTAGAATTAGGTGAGAAAGAAAAAGTCGAAGAGAAAAAAGGACCATTTCTACCCTGCAAATCTGCATCCTTGCTGAAGACTGGACACATACTTCACTCAGAGTTTTCCCTTCATCAGTGGAAGTAGGAAGGTCTGGCTGGTTATACAATGTTCAGTGTGCGGACACTTGACAAATACTTACGCAGTGCCCATCACATGCCAGTCACTGTTCTGTGTGTCCATGTTGTGGCATAAGAGGGGATCCATGCAAGGGAGGCGAAGCACATGAATAGAGTGGGCAGAGCAGATCTCGCTAACTGCGGCAGTGACATTGGAGTAAAGTCGTGCAGGGGATGAAGGGAGCAGGCCACGTGGGTAGCTGGGAGAAAGGCATTCCAGCTAGAGAACTGGCAGCGTAAAGGCCCTGAGCTCCAAACAGGGCTGGGTCTTGAGCGAGTAACGAGGAGGCCAGTGTGGCCGAAGGAGGAGAAAGGGGAGAGCAGGAATCAGTGACACTGGAGAGGTAGCCAGGCGCCTGATTGCATCGGGGAGGGCTGCAAGCAGACTTGCACCGACTTGAGTTTTTAAGAAATCATCCCTCTGGGATGATTGCCGTCCCGGGGATGGACTCTAAGGAGGCAAATTTGGAAGCAGAGCCATCAGCTAGGAAGCTATATCACTAACCCAAGCAATAGCAGATGAGAAATTAGAGTCTCTCTTAAAAATTAGATATGTTGGCGCCAGCAGGTAGTATGGTGGTTAGGGCACTGGACTCCTACATGGCTGAATGTGGTTCAAATCCTGGACCTAACAACTTACTTTCTCACTTTCCCTTTCTCTGTTTCCCTCTCTCTCTCCTCTCCTCTCTCTTTCTGTTTGTCTCTCTCTTTCTCTCTTTCTGGTGAGTGCACATGCCCTGTAGTAAATTTAAAATTATAATAATTATTTTTTTAAAAAATTAAATGTATTTTTGGGCCATCCCATGGTCTGGTGGTCAAGGCAGCTGGACCCCACATAGCTAACTCTGTGGTTTGAGTTCCAGACCTGTGGGCATGAGAAACACATTGGGCGCACATGCATATGTGCTATAAATCCCCAAAGCTAGGAGAGAGAGAACAAGACCACAGTGTGACCGTGTCCCATGGAAAGGACTTTCTCACCTTCTTTCTCTCCCACTCTCTCTCCCCTCTCCCTCTGGAAAGCTCACATGCTCTCTGGCGGAAAAAGAATTTTTTTAAATGAGATATATTTTGAAAATAAGAGACAGAAGTACTTCCTGAGTGATAGATGTGGTTGTAAGAGAAAGAGGAGGAGTCAGGGATGAGGGCAAGGTTTGGAGCCTGAACCGCGAGTGGAGCAGGTTTAAACAGATATCAGTTCAGCTTCGGACGTGCCGACCTATGAGACATCAAGCAGGCAGGCAGACATGTGTTTAGAGCTTAGCAGAGAGGTCTAGGTTGGAAGTATACATTTTTTTTTCCTTTTTTTCTTGGAGAGGTTTTTGCTATAGGGTGCATGCGCTCGCCAGACAGACAGAGAGAGACAGAGACAGAAAGCGAGAAATCACCCCCCAGGGGGGATAGCCACGCCACAATCCCTTCTCCTCCATTCTCCTCTCGGGATCTTGGGCACGCACGCACACGCGCCCAGTGTGAGTTTAAGCCACCGGGTCCGGGACTCGAACCGCGGTCGACTACATGTGAGTCCAGCGACATAGCCATTATGTTAACTGCTGGTCCTGGAAGTTTAAATTTGAACGTTGTTGGCATGGCATTGATAGGTGAAGCCATGAGTCTAATGTAAGGAACAGAAGAGATTGGAGGACTGAGCCCTGAGGTCCTTCCGTAGTGAAACAGAAACAGATCGGTTTCTATGAAACAGACACTGTCACTCAGCCAGTCTCTGCAGAACCCTTCTAGATCCAGGGTCAGTAAACTACAGCTCTCCCCAATCTGGCCCACTACTTGTTCTTGCAAATAAAGTTTTACTGGAATACAGCCACACTCATTTGTCTAACACCAATGGTAGCTTCCACCTGCCAAGGTAGCATCGAGTAGCTGAGCAAAACACCGACTGTGTGACCCGTGAACCCTGAAGTCCTCACTCCTGACTTCACAGACAAAGTTGCTGGCCCTGCTCTAGATGAGCCACAGGTGGCTGCAGGGCAGGAGGGCAGGCCCAGGCCAGTGGCACTGTCTGTCCTCTTTGTCCAGCAGTGGGCTTGTCGGGCCTGGGCTTGGAATTACTCCCCAGAAACAGTGCTAGACGTGGAATGGCTCTTCACTCACTCTTTTACCCTCACTCCTTTGTTTTTTTTCAAGTTACAAGAGCCTTGGAAAGAATTAGAGAAATATTTACCAAAGCAAAGCCAGTGAGCCTATGACTGCCCCATTGACCCCAGATGGGAATTTCTAAACCTAGTAGCTGCCCTCATTGTCATTGCCCGGTTACCCCAGAGGCCAGATGTCAGCCGTGTAAACGTGTGGCAAGTGTCTCTTATGCTTGCTCAATGTGTGGGGATTTTAAAGCTCCTGAAGCCATTTGCAAGGAAAGAAAAAATGGCTTAGAGAAGAAAGCGCCGTCCTACTCCCCCAGTGCCCCGCCAGGCTGGGAGTCCTTTGGAGTCGTAGCAGAAGGGTCCCCTCTTGGCCCAGCGTCCTCACTCACTCTGGCAGGGTGCCCCCGAAGCACGGCTCCGGCACTAAGTGTGTTTCATGACAGGCACCTCTGGGGGCTCTAGAAAATCATGAAGTGTCAATTAAAATTACTTGGAAGTTCTTTCAATTATTTCCACCTTTCAGGCCTCATCTCTGTACCCTCCTCTTTATTTTAATAACTCAACCCTGTCGTAGCAAAACAATGCTTTAAAATACATCTGTAAGCTAAGACTTGATGAAATTCTGAAGCTCTTTCTCCTGTGTTTTCTCCCTCCCTGAGAGCCTCTTCCCCCGCTCCCCGCCCAGGGGCGGACCTGGAGTCAAGGACAGTGATTCATGGCCAGCAGGGTGCCCTGGAAGTTCCTCTTGTTCTTCTCCATTCAGTGCAGGGTTCATCAGGACTGCAGTTCCTGAAGCCTCTTAGAAAATACGATAGAGTCATAGTGGTCGGAAAGCCTGGGATGAGACCCTGTGAGACCCGCTCCGAGAAGACGTCGCAGTACTCCAAGCTGTGTCATTAGGGCTGCAGTTCCACGCTCTGTGGGCGTGGGACAGTGGAACAGTCAGGTGACAGGAGGTGTGAGCCACCCGAGCTCCCCACACACGCTGGTGGAGTGCCCGGATGCCCCGTTGGAGGCTGGATCCTCTCACGTGACCACGTTCTATTTGCTAGTGTGCAAATGGAAGCAGCTTGTACAGGAGGACTCGAGCTGTGCCGGTATCTTCCTGAACCTGCACAAGCCAGTTCCCAGTTCCCCTCTATCTCGGGAATGGTGATAGGAATACCCACCCCCAGGGATTCTTTAAGTGGAGTCCTGCAGGGAAGAGGGCTCTTCAGTGAGGGGTATTGTGTGCTCTGCCTGGCTCACAGCAGGTGCTCAGCAGTGTAAGTGTCTTTGTGACCATGGGTGGAGCAGCTGTGAGGGCAGGTTGCCTTGTCACCCTGTAACCCAGGGTGGAGCCCCTGTGAGGGCAGAGCACCTTGTAACCTAGGGGACGAGCACCTGTGGGGACAGGTCACCTTGTAACCGAGGGGTGGAGCCCCTGTGGGGACAAGTGACTGCGAGCCTGCTGTCAGGGCCAGCGCAGAGCTAGGACGGAAGCTGACGAATGTGAGTATTGAGTGTGGTACCCTTCGGGCAGTGGGGCGTCGGGTCTGGAAAGGACACAGAAGGGCCCAGGGCTTCACCCGTGCCCGCCCTCCTGCCCAGTGCACCACAGAGACGGACTCACACTGCCCCCTCTGGGCGTCAGCAGCTTCTGAGGAAAGACTCCCCTTTACCACAGAAGAGGAGACAGACTGAGCTGGCCCGCGGGAGAAACCCTGTGTCCACATCCCAGGGCTGTGTCCTGGCGACCCCAGACCACTGCCCCGAGGGCCGGGTGCTGTCTCCCGGCCCAGCTTCCCCAGACTCAGATGCAGGGGCCCTGCATAAAGCTGCCTATGATCAAAATCTCTGGTCTTAAAAAAAAAAGAAAGAGAAAAGACTCGGGGATATCTTGGTAGTTGTGCAGCGTGGCGTGCACCTGAAACTGAATTACAGCATAAGCAGAGACAAGATGCCACAGTCTGACCAGCTCCGAAATCACCTCCATCTCTGTGCGCTGGCATCTGGGGCCGTGTGGTTCCTGTGGTGCGTGATGGCCCGGGAAGCCCATGCGAGTCTGTGGTTTACTGTGGTGCGCTGTCTGTGTGGGGTGGTCATCGCACGGTTGCCCAGTATTCCTGTGTGCTCAGGTCGTGGATATAATCGAGGAGTCTACCTGCTTCAGGAGGAGAAAAAAAAAAAAAAGAAGATTGAACAGAAAAAAATTTTGAACAAGAATTTATTGTCTTGGAAGAGCTAAATGGATTTTTGCATAAGTTTGTACCTGTGGCTTTGAAAAATAAGAGAAGCAGTTTCTCAGGATGCTTTGTTCTAGGAAAACATCACTGCGGTGGCTGCTGCTCCTGTGGCCATCCTGTACATGTCAGACCTTCCCGTGCCATGGCATCAGATACCCCTGCCGCTGGCACCTCGCTGGTGACCGGAAGCACCCTCGCGGGAGGGCCTGATGTTCTGCAGGAGGTGCAGCACGCTGCCAGCCGCGGCCGTGTCCTCTGCACCTCCTGCCGTTTCTCAGGGTGCGCTGCGGGATGTGTGTTTACCCCCAACAGGGAACTGAAGGAGAAGATCCAGCCCGAGATCTTAGAGCTGATCAAACAGCAGCGCCTGAACCGCCTCGTGGAAGGGACCTGTTTTAGGAAACTCAACGCCCGGCGGAGGCAAGGTATTGTTTTGGGGAAACTCCCCACTGGAGTAGCGGGGTTCCGCAGCAGCCTGCTCCCGGGGAATCCCAAGGGCATGGGGTTAGCGTATGGGTAAGACCTGCAGGCTTGTAGTTGGGACAGAAGTGCAGAATTACCGGAATTACCCGACAACCCGCAGGCTGCAGATCCCCCCCGCCAGCCCATGCCACAGACCACAGCGCTGGTGACAGTGACCAGGGCGTGCTCTGAGCTGCGGTCCCAGGCTCCTCTCCGCACTCTACCTACGTTAGCGCAGCTTCACCTCAGGCTTCCCTGCACTTTGGCCCCGTTTACAGACAGGGAGACTGAGGTGTCGCAGGGTTAGGAAACGTCCACAGCCACCCGAGAGCAAGGACTCACTCCACAGCCTCTGGCCCTCCCTTTAAAGACGCACTAAGCCGCTGGCCAGGCTGGCACCCACATCAGATTTGATCTTGGACCTTTGGCACAGACTGGCCTTTATTCTCACGTGCCCTGCACTGACTTCCTCCCACGTAGGACTGCTTTCATTTGGGGGAATAAGTAACAGTGAACGAAACAAGGGGAGAATCAGCTTATTTCAAGACAGATTTCTGGATTGTCTCTATTAATTGTAAACTCAAGATGTCAAGTCAAAATGGGCACCAGCAGCTTAGATCCGATAGGCCCAGATGAGTCTTATTTTTAAGAATTATTCTATTTAACTTTATTATCATAACAATTATTATTATTATTAGTTTGACCAGAGAGAGAGTGAGTATGAGAAAGTAAGCCACGAGGTCCAGGACTCGAACCAGGCTTGGCCGTGCAAAAAAAAACTGAGAGCCATGGCTCGGAGGAGGTGAGGGGCTGAGCAGGACTGCAGCGAGCGTGGGCATCAGCGTCTGTGGGGCACCCACACTGGTGCTGACCCAGAGAGCGGGCGCAGATAATGCCGGAACCTCCCGTGGGTGCCACTCAGAGCTCGCCCACCAACGGCAGCCCTGGCCATTCCCCTCACTGTTATTTGTTTATTTTGTATTTTTGATGAGCGTACAATCGGCGTACATATTCGTGGGGCACAGTGTGATTCTCTAGGACATGACGCAGCGTGTGTGATTAGACCTGGGTAATTGGCCCATCCGTCATCTCAACCCTCCCTCACTGCTCCGTGTGGGGAGACTCAGAACCCCCTGGGCAGCCGCTGAGCTGTGCGGCGACCTATTGTTAGCCACGGCCTCTCTGCTGTGTTTTCTCTATTTTGTAACCCTGGACATGATTCTTATCTATCTGTATTTTTAATTATTATTTGCAAAATATTTTACTAGTTTCTCAATTTATATCCTGTATTGGGCCGTCGGAAAAGTTATGAGTATTTTTCTATGCCGAAGTGCATCATGACTTTCTAACAACCCAGTAGATACAACCTTACACCTTTAATACAGTTTTTACCTTCTACAAATGCAAAAAAATTGAGTTTAATGTTTCTAGACCTGTGGCTGTTAACCTCCGTACAACGCCAACTCACCACCGTAAACTGGGGTACTTTTTCCGAAGTTGACAGCATACCTACGGTTTCCAATCTGTCACTCAGTTTCCATTAAACTGCCAGCATCCTTCTGCCTCCCCAACCCAGTCCATGTCTTTCCAGTCACTAGTCATCGTATTAGTCATTCTCCAAGTCTCCACTGCTAGCAGGTCATTTTTTTTTTCCAAAGACTTAGAACATGGGGTATCCTGTTTTTGTGCCTGCCTTGTTTCGTTTGATACGATATTCTTTTGGCTCGTGCATTTCATTCATCCATTTCACTGGCTGAATAGTATTCCGTGCATGTGTGCATGCCACATCTTACTGTTCCTTCATCTGTTGACAGACGCTTAGGTGGAGTTCACACCCTGGCTGGTGCGTATGCGCTGCAGCAGACACTGGGCTGCAGACCCCTGTACAGCACGCCGATTTCCGTTCCTTTGGACGCAAACCTAGTCATGGGCTTGCTGGGTCACACAGCAGTCCTTCAACTGCTCTGTGCTGAATCCTCAGTAACTGTGAAGTATCCTAGTGAGGAGCTTCCAAAGACAGAACCTCCCTGAGGAATGATGGTGCAGGTTATTCTCAGAGCTTCGAGCTGGGCCTCGGGAGTGCAGAGGGGCCTGAACAGGAAGGCCAGAACAGCGTGATGAAGGACAAGCAGCAGGAGAGGGAACTCAGGCTCCCCTTCTGCCTGTGAAGGATGAGTTTACACCCTCCTACCCCACTGCGTTTCTGTGTGGGGTGCCACCTTGGCAAGGACAGGGGCCCTCAGCCAGGGGACGTGGACACGGTCTTCCCTCAACCCCTGTCCAGCTGCGTGTCCTTGAGCAGCTCTCCCATCAGACATGGAGAACAGTGCCCGTGTCCTCAGGCTGCTGGGAGGAAGAAAGGTGATCATGAATGTAGCTCTTCCACAGCCAACGGTGGTTCAAGTCCCTGCCCCAGCAGCTTGTGCCTGTGTGCCCCAAGTCCTGACAGTTTGGAGAAATGGAGGAGAAGGGGTGGAATGTGACCACGTTCCTTGGGGGGGAGGTGTCTTCTCTGTCTTTCTGGCTGCTATACGCTCTGGCAACGAAAGGAAGAGAAAGTAGCAACCAGAGGCAGCGCGGGCCTTGGTTCTCCGATTACCATTCCCGTCTATAGGCAGGACGCATGCCCTCCCGAGGCCGCCAGTGACCATCTCTAAGGTGCGCTAGAGCTCCTGGAGGACGTCAGCCAGGCAGGTAGTCCAAGGTGTGCCCTGACCTCTTCATGGCCTTGGAGAGTCACCGTTCGTGGTGTGCTTCCCCATAAAGGTGATTGCGAAGTTTCTGTCTACTTCAGTCTGGCCAGAGGGCACGGAAGTGTGGGGTGGGGGTGACAGATAGACACTTGTCCTCAGCCGCTTCCACTGAGACCCAGCTAGAGCCCTTCGGAGCCCAATTCCTAGAACTGAATTTCACTTTCCTGTCTATTTCACCTTGAGACTTCCTTTCTAGGCTGAAATGGAGATGTTCTATCATAATAATCCTTTTTCTACACATAACTACAGGGATTTGGTGGTTGTTATTCAAAAAGTGTGAGTCTCTTTTCTGTAATTTTTTCCAGTTTTCTAAAAATAAATTATCTAGCAAACAAAAAAATATTAGCATCCCAATTATAAATGTATGAGCTGAGCTCCCTGAGGAGCATGGCATCTGTGTTTAATACAGAATCGTCTCCAAGTGCAGAAAGGAAGGCTTTTTGATGTTTGGTAAAAGGATTTGAAATCTGGTGGCTGACTCTGCTTAAAAACAGATTCACAGTAGACCGCGCTCAAACCCGTTTCCTGTCACGCCATTGAAACATTCCGCTTCGGCGTATGCAGAGCAATGAGCACGTGACGTCAGAATCATTTGTAATCCCTCTGAGGAAGATGCATGTGGGATGGGACCTGCACGACAGGTGCCCCACGCGTTACAGAGCAGGTGCTGTGCAGGGGTCCTGGCCACACTCCATGTACTTGGCCTGCGGTGAGCATGCAAGCAGTGACCAGTGCAGGGCCATACAGCAGAGCTTCCAGTCCCACAGGTTGGGGAAGTGGAGAGGGAAGGCAACACAGCCCTTCGCAGGCCACGCTGGGTAGAAGACTTCCCCCAGTCGATACACCCCCATGTACTTGGCCTGCGGTGAGCATGCAAGCAGTGACCAGTGCAGGGCCATACAGCAGAGCTTCCAGTCCCACAGGTTGGGGAAGTGGAGAGGGAAGGCAACACAGCCCTTCGCAGGCCACGCAGGCCAAGACTTCCCCCGGTCAATACACCCCATCATTCTCCCTGTCTCACTCACAACTCTGCTCCTTGGATAGTCTGACGCAGAGCTTTAGAAATCTGGGTTTCTGGAAATTCTGACCACGTGAGAACTGGGAGGCAGTACACCGTGTAAGACGCACTCCCTGGGTTCAGCTCCTGCTCCCCACGCCCTACCTGGGCAGCCTTCGGCACTCTGCTCAGAGTCTGTGCCTCCTGTCTGTCCAGCCGGGGCGAGGTTGGCCCCCACCTCACACAGTCTAAGGACCGAGTACAGTTACAACCTGTGGCACGCAGTACTGGCGCTGGTCACACTCACGGTGATTTTACGCTGGTTTGCGTGTAGTCTCCCAGGCTATAGATTTGTAAACACAGGAGGCAGAGTGGCATGGGTTGTCCCTTGCGTCACTCCATTCTGTCCCCACAGACGGCAAGGCTCTGATTGCAGATCCTTCACAACGGGAGCCGCCATGCTCCTGGCACCCTGGACTCCCAGAGCGTCAGGGACGAAACCCCAGCGGTGCCGTCTCAGGGCCATGGCTGGGAGACGTGCCGTCTCCTGCACATCTGAGGGCAGAGGACTGCCCACCGCGCCCCTTCAGTTTCAGGGAGTGGTGTGGTCAGAGCCGCGTGCACTGAGTGGTCCGTGACAGCCACAGCTGAAGGTGAGGAGGTGTGGCGAGAGCGATGGCGCTCCGTGGAGGGCCTTGTCATTGCCCGAGCAGCCTCCCCGTCTACGCGGAGTGGGGGGCTTGCCCTGGAACCAGGTGCCGCACGAAATCAGATGAGGAGCCCGGCTTCCCACCTCCGCAAGCGAGGCCGTGCCTGCACTTGACGGGGATCCGAGAGCAGGCGGAGGCTCGGGCCACACGGAGAGCGGTGGCTTCCTGTACTCACCTCGAGTGACATTCTCTTAATGTTTCATTAAACCTAACGGGACTCATTTGTACAGAAAGGCAGATAGAATTAAATGCTTTCAAATGAAGAGAAACCAGTTCATCTTCACACCCCACACACATGCATACACACGCGCACGTGCACCCCCACACACACATGCATACACACGTACACACACAACACACACATGCATACACACACGCACACATAACACACACATGCACGCACACAACACACACACACGAAGAAAAAGACTGACATATGCAGTCCTCTCCATATTTCCCGTCTTGGAGCTTGGAGATGAAGAGGTGGTATTAACACCCTCTCCTCCCTAACTGGCTGGAAGATCTCCATATCAACTCTTATTTTCTCCTTAAATGCTAGTAAACAATCTTTGACGATGTTCCTACTGCTTCCTGCTAATTGCTTTTAGTGACACAATTCACTCTTTCATTGCCCAGAGGGATCGAGAGCTGGTAATATCATGCTGAGTTTTGAATGGAAAATGCACATTTTTCTTACCAGAAAAGAAACTGCAAATCAGGCCTGGGCTGGGGACTGACTGCGACTCACCCAACCTGTCGGCGTGCTGGCTGCAGCCGGCAGCTCTGCTCTCTCATACCAGCTCTTTAGGGCAGAAACACACAAGTTAGGACCCCCTAAACCCTGCAAAGCTGAGGACCCAGCTCCTCCCGGCCAGGAAGGTCCCGGCTCAGAATCCGCCCCTTGCCTGGGAGCCGTGTCCTGACTGCTTCCCCCACTTTCCCTGTACGCCGGGCTGGGAGGACCCGAGCTGCGCGTCAGTGTGTGCAGCGTGCACAAATCTTCTCTCTACATAGGGTAAGGGCAAACGCGCCAGAGGTAGGAGAAAGCCCCGGCGTGTTGTCAGACACAGGTCGGGGGAAGGAGGGTCTGGAGGGAAGGCGTCCATCGGCTGCTCCTGGACACTTGTCGCGGAGTTCCAGGCAGCCCCTTGGGTTTCTTCTCAATGAACGTCACGCAGCTTTGCGAGGGTGATGGCTGTTCCGCCCCTGGAACTCTGGCGAATAGTGGCTGTTGTGGAGCAGTGTGTGGATGTGACCGTATGTGGCACAAGAGACTGTCCCTGCATTTCCCCAGAGTACCAGGGGATATTTGAAAAGTTCATGGAAAATGCACATTACAAAAGCACTGTGCGTGGATTTCAAACAATTTTTGCACCAAAATAAAGTTGTAGTTTAATTCGATTTTTCCATGAGCTTTTTAAAAGTTGATTTACTTCTCTGTTCTCTCAGAGACAGAGAGACAAGCACCTCATCAGGGTCCCCACTCCATGATCCACATCCAACCTCAGGGAGCCTGGTCATGGGCACACGTGGAGCCTGCACATACAGACAGGTCCTTGGACTCGAAACCAGGACTGCCACATGTGGGTGCAGTTGCAGTATAGCTGCGTCGCCGTCTGCCCCCCGACAATCTGTCCGAAGTCCCCCAGATAGCCAGAGTTGCCGGTTTGTCCCTCCCCTGCCTCTCAAACCTGGAAGCTAGCGTCTCCACCATCTTTCTCCTAGCTGCCGTTAGAAGCCGAGAGACCTCCTTGCCTTGGGCTCGGCCTTGCGTGGTCCCACGTCTGCCTTCCAGTCTGTCTCTTTTGCCACACCCATCGGGGTGCTGTCCTTGGTACGCGCTCTGCACACATTCACTGCTGCATCAGCTCATCCCGACTGTGGGAGCAGCAGCATTTTTGAAATCTTACACATCAGCACCTCACGAGTGAACACAAGTGGTGCAGGGGACTCCACAGTATGCCTGCGTGTGCTGAACTGTGTGCCAGCTGCGTTTCTTACATCCTCCCCCGTCAAATACTGAGTATGGTTGATCTTTGATCGTGCCGCATTGACTCTGGTTCCAAGCAGCCTGCTCACTCCGAGGACTCACTCCCGCCTGTGAAGCGAGGTGTTCCTGTCAAGGACAGGTCAAGCTGGTCCTCAGCCTCAGACCTGCCTGCCCAGCCATGCCTCGCTCACTTCCTTCCCAGCCTCTGCCCCTTCCACCTGCCCCCTTGCTGGAAATCTCACCACAGTGGAGACAGGAGAAGGAAGGCCTTTGGGCAGAGCGCCCAACTGGCTTTGTGGCTGTCCAGGCCGTGCAGACCAGGTGAGGGGCCCGCTCCGGCCTGTCAGGCCTGGTCAGGAGCACTGCTGGTCCCGTAATCGTGGCCTCATCCTCGAGCTCCCAGTCCCCGTGTGGATTCCAAGTGCTGTTTTCATGGGAAACTGGTGACCACATGTACTGCCTAATTAATGTGAGTGCTCATTACTCAGGGGTAACTTCGTCTTCCCCCCTTGAAATGCCCTCCCAGAAAAATGACCTGCATTTGGAATCCATATATCATCATTTGGAAAATTGGGCAATTCTAGAGAAATGACCTGCATTTGGTATATATTACTTAAATTTGAAAATTTAGTGAGTTGAGGTTTTTCATAGCCAGTAAGTAACTTTCTTTTTCTCCTCCCAAATTTTCCTAAGAGCTGCGACTCCTTTCAGTACATGACTTGCCATGTTCTGACCTTACTCAGGAATTCTCGAACTCTGTAGACCAGGAAGGCGGACCCCACAGAGGCACTCCCCTCTCTGGATGGTTGGGCATTTCGTTGTTGTTCCTCTTGTGGCTTTTATTCCCAGTTTAAGACTTCTTTTTTCCTGTTAGAAGAATCATAGTTGGAACATGGTTTTGCAGTGAAGGCCGTTTAGGTAGAAAACCACTTTGCTTAGACTGTGCTGGAGAGCCTTCCCACCATACTGGTTTCCACACAGTTTGCCTTTGCAGGCGCAGTGAGGGGTGACTTGGCCAGGGCCACCGAGCGTGCCACTTGGATAATGGTCCCAAGGACGTGCAGGCAGTGGACACTCTGGGCCACAGGCATTTTGACCAAGTCCTTTTGGGTCCTTCATTATCCACTTGGCCAATGCCAACTTGCAACTTTCATGTTAGGGTGTTGAGACTCTGCAGTTATGACAGTCCCAGGCTTCCCGCCACTGTCAGGGCCCATGAATACCCTGGAATCCTCACATCCCACTGAGGGAGTGGCTCACCCCGAGCCCGTGGCCGACATTGGTGAATACTGAGTGGTTGCTGTGTGGACACCAATAATGACAATCCAATCCAAGTTAGAGGTACAGAGATGCTGGTGCACCTCAGATGAGAGACTCTTCAGCTGCAGAGATCAAAGAGAGTGTCCTGGAGGAGGTGGCACTCAAGCTTATCCCTAAGAGCTGCAAAAACGTTGCCGCTGTTTCAAGTTCCTTATCAATAAGATGTGTTCTTTGCCTCCCCCTGCCTCTTGGGCTTACTCAAAATCCGTTAATTACACTTGAGGGGGCTTAGAAGGTAAAGTTGAAGGGGTTATTTATAATAACGATCCTAAGGCCCTGGTCATGCCTATTCCGAACATTGGACTCGAGGAATTGGGAGAATGAATGGGAATCGCCTCATTCTTTGGCTAAATCCCTGAATTATTTAGATGACCTCCATGAATTATCACTCACGGATAATTTGCGTCTGAGCTGCAGGGTGGAGCTTTGCTGTATCCAGTCAGCACGACCTTGTCCACAACGGTCCCAACAGTCTGGAATCTCAGAGAGGGAAGGGGGGCAGACAGTTCCAAGAAAGCTATTTTGTCTGTATCTCCCGCACCAACTTTTGTCAGCCTAAGCGAGTAAGGAAGAGTCCCCATGGTGATAGCAGATCTAGGACATGCCTTCTGGAAACCACCCCCTCAAAATCAATCTCCCTCGAGCTGTCTGGACTCGGTGACTTTCCTAAGGGTTATCAATGTGTACGGGGCAGGACAGATGCTAGCTGAATGCCCAAATCAGAGGGGTCCTACTGCCCAGGGCCCTGAACTCATCCTTCCCATGCTTGAAATCCAATGAACTGCCCGTCCCTCCAGGACAGCGCTAGGGAAAAACTGTGCTAGTATTTTGGGAAACCAGAGTAAATTACTTCATAAACATTTTTTTCTTTTTTTTCTCTCTGTCTCTTCAGACAAGTTCTGGTACTGTCGGCTTTCTCCAAATCACAAGGTCCTGCATTATGGAGACTTGGAAGAGAGTCCCCAGGGAGAAGTGCCCCATGACTCCCTGCAGGACAAATGTAAGTGTCTGGCCCGTGTAGAAGGCCGCGTTTGGGCTGTCTGTTGCCTGGTCACGATATTTCATGCTAAGAAGACCTTTGGCCATGTCTCTCCTGGCAGACCCCTTGGTCTGGTGCTCTTGCCAGGTTCAAGGCCCTGAAGAATGAACAGTTTGGGGTAGAACAGGCTTGACCGTCCGGGAGGTTTCCAGATCTCTTTCCTGATGGATGTAACTTGGGGTTCAGATGCCCTCTCCCTACTTATCCAGTGCTGCTTCAAGGGGCAGAGATAACATAAACCTGGTTTTGTCAAAGGTCTTTTCTGATGACGTGTCATAGAACTTACGTAGTGGGTTGTCAGAAAAGTCATGACACATTTTTGCGTGGAAGAAATCGGGAAATATGTCGTGGCTTTACCGATGACCCCTGTGATGGCAGACCCAAATATGACTGGCTTACTTCAAGTAAGTTACACAGGTGCCTGGAAGGTGTATGATCAATTTCGTTCGATCATTACTGGAGGTTCCCAAGTGAGTGTATTACACACACTGATTTTGCTTTTTCTGCATGTCGTCTGCCCTAGCAGAGGTGAGTAAGTGTGTAGGATTCTCCCAGGCCAACTCCAAACCTCATGCCAGGTTATTGACAGTGTTAAGCGTACATTTAAGTGAAGTATTGTGGAAATATTGCAATCCACTAGGGTGATAAATTAATTTGGAAGGGAAATGAGATCAGGTGAGTGAATGGAACCTCAGAGGGTGTCTCAGGCAGAGCTCAAAGAGGAAGAGCACACTCAGGATGTTTTATACGTTTTTATTTTTAAGGTTTAGCCATAGGGTATGCGTGCTTTCCGGAGGGAGACAGAGAGAGACAAAGAGTAAGGAATCACCCACAAGGGGGGTGGCCACACCACAGTCCCTTCTCCTCCATTCTCCTGGAATTTCAGGCACACATGCACAAGTGCCCGGAGTGAGTTTTAAGCCTCTAAGTCTGAGACCTGAGCTATGGTCAGCCATGTGGGGATCCAGTAGCTCTTATCTCCGCACCACCTGCGGGCCCCAGGACAACTTGAAATGACCTTTGAAAGTCACGTTGACCTTGAAGCGTGTTCAGATAAGCATGTCCCACACAGACTCCTTGCCCAAGTCTCCCCTTGCCTCCTGTCACCCCAGGGCCCTGGAGTCACATCTGTACTGCCTTCCCTGTAGCTCGCCATGGAAGGCGAAAATAAAGCACGAGTGGGACACTCCCTGACACGCTCGGACTCACCGGCAGTGCGGGCGGGCAGGACAGTCTCTTCCTCCGGCTTAAAAATGCGGCAGCCGGGCCCTTCTCGTGCCGTTTACTTTAGAAAGCAGTCTCGTTTTCTCTCATGGACCTGCCTCCCAGCTCCCAGTACTGACACCCCAGTGGGGAGAAAGAAATCAGAACTCGCCTATGAGGGCCTGGGACAGTGCTGACGTGTCACTCCATTCTCCTGGAATTTCAGGCACACTCGCTGTGGGGCCCGGGACAGTGCTGATGTGTCGCTGTGGGGCCTGGGAGTGGGTGGGCGGTCCAGAACTTCTGCCTGTGAATGGAGGTCAGAAAGCCTGCCTGCCCCAACACAGACAAGGCCAGGGGTTCTCTAAGTGTGGCCGTCAGCAGCCATTTCCCCTGGAGCTTATTAGAAGTGCAGATTCTCAGATCCCATTACCAGGCCACTGAATCGAAAACTGGGAGTGAGGCCCACAGCCTGTTTTACCCAAGCCACCAGGAGATTCTGGCTCACATTTGAGAGCTGCTAACCTCCCTCTTGCCAGATACTCCACGTAGTGATCCCCCATATGTGGCTTTCACAATAAGCAAAAACATTTTTTAAAGTAAATCAACAGCCAAGTTTTCATTTTGGCATTAAAAAAATATGTTTAAAAAAATAAAATACCTCGGCCCAGCAGATGGTGTGGAGGTTAAGGGGGCTGGATCCCACATGGTTGACTGCAGTTCAAGTCCCAGACCCAGTGGCTGAAAAAAACACACCTGGCGCATGTGCATGTGTGTCCAGAATCCTGGGAGGAAAATGAAGGAGGAGGGCTTGCCAACCCCCGGGGGGCTCTCTCTCTCCCCCTCTCTCTCTCTCTCCCCCTCTCTCTCTCTCCCTCTCCCTCTCCCTCTCTCTCATGCTCATGCACACATGTACCCTATAGCAAACTAAAAAATATATAGATAAAAAATGAATAAAACTTACCTAAAATTTAATATGACAGTCCTTTTATAAGAGGAAAGACCCTTCATCTCACCACACACGAGAAGGGCCTCACCTTGGAATAAAGGCCAGTCCTTCTGCTGAATTAAATTAGCTCTATGAAAGACTCACGTGAGTGCCCTCGCTTTCCTGCATTTGCAACTAAGTAGTGAAAACTCCCCCAGGAACTAGGAACTGCCCAAGGCCAGCAATTTGGACACACCACTCTACATGCGGGTTAGATGAGAAGAGTTAGAAGTTGTCATTAGTCAGAGCGTCCACAGGCCTGGGGTGTCCTCAGCCCCATGGTAACCTGACCAAGAACCAGGGAAGTCTGCACAGGAGAGACCAGCTCGGTTCACCCCTTCCCTGTGTGGCCTGACGAATCGCCCTGCCTCTCACTGGACATACTTACTCCATAGGTGCCGGGACACAGTCCACTTCTCAACCCAGACTCAGGCATCTGACTGGCAGGTTTGCCAGGCGACACACACAGCACATCCCACTGGCAGCTGCTCAGGAATCGGCAGCCCTGCCCCCAGAGCAGGTCCCAGGATGTGCACAGAGCCACGTGTGGGGCACCTTGGGGACTGCCACGAGTCGGTGCTCCACAAGTCTGGGAGGGCCTCCCTTTCAAGAGCTCAGGGTGGGGGGACCAGCAGTTAGCGTAATGGCTATGTCACTGGGACTCCCATGTAGTCGACCGCGGTTCACGAACTGGACCCAGTGGCTTAAACTCATGCCAGGCACGTGTGCGTGCGTGCCCAAGATCCCGAGAAGAGAATGGAGGAGAAGGGATTGCAGCATGGCCATCCCCCTGGGGGGTGATTTCTCACTTTCTGTCTCTCTCTCAAAAGCTGGGATAACATCCCCCATCAAAAAAAAACACCAAAAAAAAAAAAAAAAAAAATAAAAAACCTCAGGGTGAAAACAACTAGTAGCTGGGGCCCAGCGGTGCCAATGCCAGGAGGCCTCAGAAGAGCAAGGCCGGACTGCAGCTCTCCAGACAGCTTGTGTGGGTCACACCTCGGCCATTACTGTTGTTCATCATGTGGCTTTTATTCCGTTCTTACACTTTTTTTCCTTTCAGAAGAATCATAGTTGAGACACGGTTTTGGAGTGAAAGCAATTTTAGGTACAAAGACACTCCCCTTAGACCACAGAGGAGAGCCTTTCCACCCACCGGCTTTCACAGTTTGCCTTTGCAGGTGCAGTGAAGGGGGACTTGGCCGGGGCCACCGAGCGTGCCACCTGGATAATGGTCCCAAGGGTGTGCAGGCAGTGGACACTCTGGGCCTCAGGCATTTTGACCAAGGAGTGGCCATGGAGTGATCCTGATTCTGGGAGAAGGTTGCAGCAGTCCCTCCTGACAAAGTCTCCAAATCCTTGTTCACACCTTTCTCCTGCCCCCACTGAAGTCCAGTAACAGAGTCCAAAGCTTCTCCATGCACAGTTTTTTTTGTTTTTTTTTTGAAAGAGAGATTTTCGCTATAGGGTGTGTGTGCTCGCCAGACATTCAGAGAGAGACATAGAGACAGAAAGCGAGAAATCACCCCCCAGGGGGGATGGCCACGCCGCAATCCCTTCTCCTCCATTCTCCTCTCGGGATCTTGGGCACGCATGCACCCGCGCCTGGGGTGAGATTTAAGCCACCGGGTCCAGGACGCGAACCGCGGTCGACTACGTGGGAGTCCAGCGACGTAGCCATTACGCTAACTGCTGGTTCCCCATGCACAGTTTACCCATTGCAAGAGAAACCAAGAGCACACGGAGTGCGAGTGCGTGCCCACGGAGGGTGTGTGTGTGTACACAGGGTGTGCATGCCCATGGAGGGGGTGCATGTGTACACAGGGTGTGTGTGTGCGAGCCTGCACCATCCACACGTGTGAACAGGAGCAGAGGGGGTCTGTGTAGTGAAGTGCAGTGGAACTGCCCTGTGCCTAAGACGCAGTTCACTGCTTTGGGCTTGCACCTGGCTCGCATTCACTCCAGATCTGCAATCTGCCTGGAGTAGAGCAGTCACCCTCTTGGCTCTTAAAAGTCAGGACCCTCATTCCACTAGTAAAACGAGACGTCCTTTAATTAACGTGAAGTGCCATTGCTCTTGCCGGGTACAATTGCCTTGTCTCGAGACCGACGGGAGACTGTCTTCCGCCCCTCGAATTAATTCCGTGCTGAATATTGAGGTACTGATGAAACAAACGCTGCAATTGAGTCCTCTTGATATGACCAGTGCGAGTGAAGACCAAGGGCCTCTCCTTAGATGTCTTCCTCCCTGAAAGTGAAGGAGGTGGCTCTTCTGGAATTCACTTGTCAGGAAATAGGGCTCTTGAAAGTCCGCATCGCCTTAATCCGTCTTGCCCCACATCCCTCCCGCCAGGTTTGCAGACATCACCGTCTGCCTCGGAAACACTGGGCTCCATTGCTTCCCGCCATGCCCAGGGCCCCTCGCTGCCTCCCTGGGAAAGAATGCAGGCCAGCTCTGCTCGCTCCCACCTCAAAGGGACCAGGGCGCCCGGAAGAAGGAGATTAGGCCTGCTCCAGGAGACAAGCAGGACGCTGACACAGCCAGGCTGGAGGCCATCTGGGTCACTGAATAGCTCAAGGCCCTCCTTCTGCAGAGGGAATTAACTTCGATTATCGGTAGTAAGAGTCATCACAAACGACATTAATGTAGTTCTTAGTGCATGCCAGGCGCTGCTGAGAGCTCTGCATAAGCTGTCTTCTCAGCCCGAGAGGTAGACATCACCATCATGGTCTTCAGATAAAGACACTGAGGCACAGAGAGCTGAAGGGACGTGTTTCAAGGTCACAAGGTTAGCAAACAGCAAAGGTCAGAGGAGTCCAGCTCCACGGCCTTTGTCCACTGCACTGCAGCCCTGTCTGAGGGCGGACCGTGGTCCGGGCCCAGACTTCCAGTTCATTCTCAGAGAAGCCTATGAGAGAGTGTTCCAGTTCTGCTTTCAGACAAGGACGCCACGGCTCTGAGAGCTTAAGCCCAGAGTGGTACAGCCGTAGGTGGATCTAGAATTCAAACCCAGCTCTCTCTCTCACCCACGCCATGCTGTGTGGCTGGCCCGCAGGCCAGAGGCTAGAGTGGGCCTCACCTGCCCGTGTCAGCCTGACCCTCCTCTGTCTCTTCCCGTGGGGCTTCCGTGTTGGAGCTAGACACACACGGCGAGTACTTGAGGCTTCCTAACCGCCACCAGCATGGTTTCTGCCACAACCTGACTCTCCCCCACCTCCCATGGCGAAAGCTGAACTATTTCCATCATGGTGGCTCTATTTACTTTTTCAGTGGTATTTTGGTTTTAAATCACAATTAAAATTACTTCTACGGGAATTAGCGGTTTCCTCAACGTCTGCGAAGTGATATTGTTACCTGGGGCTGTGTGTAGCGTGGTTTTGGAGAAATCATGGCCTAGCAAGGGGCATGGAGTGGATCTCTGCTCCCGCCGACTGCAAGGTTACACGATCGATCCCCTGTCTTCCCACCTGGAAATAGGGAGTGTGGAGCTAAGATCCTCTCAGTCCAGCAAACTGAAAAGACATTGAGAGAAAGGAGGCCCCGCCCCGGGGATGAGAGTGAGGGTGGGACCTCCTTCACCAGAGACCCAGTTGTGGCATCTGCGCCCCCTTCGATCTTGCTTCCACACAGAAAGGCCTGATCAAAATGCCAGCCTGGCTTTGCAGTCACCAGAAGCTTCCTGCTACCTCCTCAGGGTGCAGGTCCAGGAAACGCGAGCCTGGCCCTCTCTCCGGAGCTAGAGAGGAGCTAGAGAGAATGTTCCCACGCCCAGCCTTCGGCAGCATCTGCAAACAACTATACAGAAAGCATCCTCTCAGAGCTGGGCCACTGGGAGGGCTGCTTCCCTGTTAGTCACGGTCCTGTGAGTGATCAGCCCTCCCTCCCTGGCCGGGGCAATGCGTTTACAGAACACGCAGCAGGGGCTACTACG